GAAAAATCACTCAAGATTCAAGTCCCATGAGACAAGCAGAATGAGGTGTACCCACAAGAGAAAAATTAACCTACTCAACAAAGAAGCAGGATACAGGTGTCAACCAAAAATTAATGCAAGATCCTAGCTAAATTGTTTCCAACAGGATGTCTTTTTGTGGTTCTCTATTTTAAAAGCTCTGTAACTTTCCAGTTGGGGAGCACTTGTTTGGACTCTGAAATGGGGTGGGGGGGGGGCTCTGTATAAGTGGTCCTGAGCTCAGCTAATTAAGTTTCAAATTTATCAGTTTGGCTGCTTGGATTCCTATACTGTTCATGAACCCACTTCACTTTTAAAGGCTCAAGGTGGCCCAGGGAGCAAAGAGAGGCAGTCGGTGGGCTACTCATGTGTGCCTGGGGTTCAGTCCCTGGAGGTTTGGTCTCTCCCCAGGGCTCCAGGAGAACTGAGGATGCTCTGACTTGATTGGGTCCTGGCTCCAAAGCCCATGCTTGGGGATGTGAGGGGTAATTTCAGGACTCTGCAGTCACAAGAGCGTGGTCTTTCATGGACAGGCCACCCCACGCCAGTCTCCAAGCAGCCATTTTGTCTTCTTTCTCACCCAGGCAAGCCCTTCAGAATTGCTCACTCCCACCTGTCCTGCTGCCCCCCAGGTGCAGGGCTGAGTCGGGTCTCAGGCGGGGGGACCCTGAGTCTTGCCCTGTAGGTCCTGTGGTGCCAGGCGCTGTCACAGGGCCTACATTCATGGCTGATGCAGGGAGTAGGTGGGTGTGGAGCTCCCTGCAGGCCACCGCCTCTGTGCTCAGCTGGGCCTCATGGAGGGCACTGGAGGGTCTGAGTCATCTGCCATGGGGAGCAGTGACCTTGACCCAGCCGTCAGCTTATAGCCATTCTCACCCAAGCCTCAGCCTCATGCTCCTGCAGCTGCCACAAACTGGGCACTGGAGTCACAGCTGAGCGCCCAGTAGATACAGCGGGAGATGCTGGGGCCTGGGCCTGGGTCTGGGAAGTGGAGACTCTTCAGACAGGAAGCAGCTCCTCATTTCTGTTCTGATCCCTCACCTACCTATGCACAACCTGTGGGGTGTCCTTTGTCATCTGTGGCTTTCTCTATTCCAGGAGCCCCAGGAGAATGTGTATCGCAGGCTTGGGGAACCCCATGGAGCATCCCCAAGCTGTTCCTGCCCTCCCCTGAGGCTCACTCGTGGTCAGTATCAAGCAATCCCCTCTTTTTGGGAGTTTGGTCCATCCATGGCAGCTGTATGGGTCATCTGGGCTGCAGACCCTCAGAGCCTGCGGCAGCACTGGGGCTGGCCATGTCAGACAGGGAGGCAGCAGCAGGTGTGCCTTCAAGAGGTGTACCTTTCGCAGTGGGTAACTGGCCTCGTCTGATGTGGCAAAATCTCAAAGCCCTGGGCTGGGCCCCGACCACGGTGCTGTTTGGTGCTGTTTTGCACACACAGCAGACACATGCACAGGTAGGGACTTAGGAGTGCATAAGCTCAGCCCTTGTGTGCAGGCAGGTGTAAACGCAGACCTGAGCACTGTGGACTCATGGACATAGCCAGATGTGTGGCCAGTGTTCAAGCACAGGCAGGTCCATGCTGTGTGCAAACCCTGCTCTGTCTGTAAGGCATCTGTGTGGCTGGTCAGGAGCACAGACACAGGTGAAAGGTAGAGCTCTCTGTGGGAGCACAGGTCTCCATGTGAGTAGACAGGAGTGCAGGTGAGCGCGTGGGCACGGGCACGCTTCTAGGAACACGCTCGCCCAGAGCACGGATGGTTCTTTCAGGCCACTCCTACAGCTCCCAGGTGTCCAGGGCAGGCCGTGGCTTAGAGCAGGTGATGATACATGCTCCACTCTTATGGGTCCCTTTTCTTGGACCCATAGCTGTGGACGGTGTCTTGGGCACCATCTTTGGTAATGTAGCTACGTGTGTTCGGCTCCTGGGACTAGTAACATATAGACTCATCACCAGTGTTCCGGATTTCAGTGGTAAATCTCACAGCTTTACCTGTTTCTAAGTGTTGGTAGCTAATCATAATCACTTTTCAGCATTCTCCAAGCTACAGGCCCTGGGAAGCTGGGTTTAGCACAGAGGGAGGGAACACTCGCCTTTGCCGTTGGCCCACCAGCAGCACTCGCTTGTTTCTTTCTTTCTGACATTTGCTCTTTTTTTTTCTTTTTTCTTTTTTTTTTTTGTTCTTTGTTTCTTTTTCTCTTTCTGTTTTTTGAAATAGGATCTTGTTGTATAACTCAAATTCTCAGCCTGAGATCCTCCTGTCTCGGCCTCCCACGTGCTGGGAGTATAGGTATGAATCATGCCTGGGCCCCTGACATTTCTGGCCTAGGCAGGGAGAGGTTGTCCCCAGGCACTGGTCCAGCTGAGGGCTGTGCCTCAGCAGGGTCCCATCACCCAGTGGTGGCCCTGCCACTCCCATGGAGACACTGGGCCAGTCTCTTCCTCTCTTTGATGCCACTTCCTCCTCCACAGTATGGGGCAGGAGTTCCTCACAGGACTAAATACGGTGGCTGGGGCGGGGAGCAGTGGTTTAGTGGTCACCTGCTGCCTCTGAAGCCGTGTTTGGGCTGCAGGCTGGACAGGCCTTTCATCTATTTTATTTATTTGTTTGTGTATTTCTGTGGTCCTGGGGATTGAAAGGAGGGCCGTGTGGATCACTTTATCCAACCTTGAAATTGCTCTGCAGGGCAGGCACAGGGTATAGGCCTGGGACTTCTTAGCTGATGACCTTTTCACTTTTACTTTTTAAAATTTTAAAGATAGTGAAGTCCAACAAAACAAACAGAACAAAGCCAATCAAAAACAGTGCAGCAAAACTGATCCAGAACTTCAAAGCAGGATACTGGAAAACAATAGCTACCATAGATAGCTTACCTTCACGATAGTTGTCCATTCCATCAGGTATAGCAAAAATCAAACCAAAAAGAATAAAATCAATCAAAACAGAATATTGAAGAAAGCAAAACAGTTAATCAGAACAAAGCAAAACAGTGAGAACAATATTGACCTTCAGGGGCCAGGGATTTAGCTCAGTAGCATAAGCACCTGCCTGGCAAGTGGGAGGTTGTGAGTTCGATCCCAGGTACAAAAAAAAAAAAAAAAAATTGACCTTCAAAGACAAGACAGAAGGAAAGCCCCCACATTTGCTATATTGCATGCTGTCATCCTCCCAAGAGATGCTCAGACCGCTGGCCCCAGGCCTGCAAAATCAACCAAACAATACAAGCATCTAGTCACTTTGTGTACCCTAGTTGCTGTCCTCCCCTGAACCGGCTGGTTGCTTACGAGGGGGACAGGGTGGGTGGGTTGGGGGGAATGTGGTGTTTGATTTTCAGCCCGTGCAGGTGGGCTCACAAGGTGCTATCTGGCTTTTCTCTCCCTTAGCCGTATGACCCTGTGGGCTGGGCAGTGCTCACACTTGGGAGAGTAATGTTCTCTTTTAGGGCAGAGGGGAGGATTCAATGAGCTAAAAACATAAAACGGATTTCTTTCTTCCCACTGCCCCATCTGCCGTCTGACTCCACGGCTTTTTACGCCTCTGCCTCAGGAAGAGCTTCACTTTTCCCTCCGGGAGTTTTAGTCCCCGTCCGTCCCTGCCCCAGCTTTGGCTGGGGAGGAGGGAGCTTGGCGGGTCAGAGGTAGCTGTGTGAGGCGGAGGGGCCTTGGACTGCATCCTGATCCCCAGGCAGAAGCCTGGCAGCCCCTCCAGGCTGCCCCTCCCTCGCTGCAATCCCCTGGCCTCTTAAGAATCTGGAGGAACAATGGCTAATCAGCTTCCCAGCCAGGGATGAAAGGAGGCGCCAACAGGCGCCTCAATTACTGCAGCTGCTCCTCTGTTCGCAAGCAGCCACAGGCCGGCTCCCGGTCCCTTCCGGGCTCCACTCTCCTTCAGTCTGTCTGCATCTCCCTGTCCGGGTGGACCACTGCTCATGCCCCTTCCTTCACTTTCCCGGGCTCCCAGTTCCCCAGGGTGAGGCTCCCAAATGCCGGTCAACTCTTGTTTCATCTTCAGGAATCAGACTCCTTCCACAGCAACAGCCTTCCCTCAGCTAGTGAACTCCTACCTATCTTGCAAAGCCCAGCGACCCATGACACCTCTTCCTTGAAGCCTCCAAGGCAAACCACCTCTTCACAGCAAGCTTGTGTATTCATCCCCTGCATAGTGCCCAGGAAAGGACAGCCCTGGGCCCTGTGGGCAATTCAGTATGACACTGGGGGAGCAGAGGCCAGGGAGTTGGGTCTCTGACTCATAGTCTGCCAGATGATTACAATGCTTTTTTCTTTCTTTCTTTCTTTCTTTCTTTCTTTCTTTCTTTCTTTCTTTCTTTCTTTCTTTTTCATATGGGGATCAAGCTCAAAGCCTCAGCTTGTTATACCATGGAGCAAAATCCCTAGCCCCTTCTGCTTATTTTTCTGGTCCACCCTTTTCTGGCCATTCTCTCCCCACAGACTACACTCAGGCTTCTTGTGGTTCCCTAGGAAGGACCCAGTGTTCTGGGCTCCTAAGGGACAGTTATCCCAGGTAATGAGTAAGAATGAATGAGCCTTGAGCTTCTCATCTGTAAGCTGGGGTTCCTGGTGACTCTCCCCAACCAGGGCAGCTGTAGCCAAGATCAAAATTTCCTTTTTGCCAAGTCTCAGTACTGAGCTCTCCTAACTCTGATTGTAAATGTTTCTCCAAGGGAAAGGAATTCCTCCAAGGCCACTGATGAGATTTCCTCCAGCAGAGCACCTGAGGGCTCCCCAGAGGATCCGCTGGAGGGAGGGGCAGACCTAGGGAAGCTCTGAGGATTGGTAGAGTGAGGCCCAGGCCCAGGCCCAGGCCCCAAGAGCTGCCTGCTGCAGAACCCCGCACTCCAGTTACAGCTGAGAGGAAGCAAGATCCAGGGGATGAGGAGGTAGGGGGGCTGGCAGCAGCTCTGGCCCCACCCAACTGATAGAACTGTGGAGGACCGGCTGCGGCTGAAAAGATAAGAAGTATGAAATATAAATGACCTTTATTTTGAGAATGCGGGGAGAGACACCCCCGATCCCCTGGGGCACAGCATCTCCACCCCTGGGGTCAGCAATTTCTCTGTGGAACACATGGAGTGAGGCACATAAGTAGCCTCGGTTGTGAGTGGAACCTAAGAGGGCGTTAGGGATGCACAGGTAGCCCATTGGTCTTTGTTTCATACCATAGGTAAATTCCTAGGGGTGGGGGAGATAGGAGCTCCTTGGCTTTACTGGCTACAGTGTCCTGTCTGGGCCAAAACCCTTTCATATCCCGTCTTATGATTATTATTATGAAAAGGAGTGAAGATTTCTCTCTTTAACTGCTTCCTGCTGGCAGAGGGCGCTGTACTGCGGTCTAGGGGAGTTGACAGGATGACAGTTGATGCACATGTAGAAGCTGGTGCCAGGTGTTTTAGCCAGGACAACTTCACTGGTGAATGCATGTATGTTAGACTGAAAAAACAAAGAGACAAGATGTTATGAGGAGGCATGGCACTGTCATATTTAAGGACCCAGGTGAGGTAGAAGGAAAGGTGCCTTTGATTTAGACATGTCATTATATCAGGACAACGTTGAGGTAGGAACATTTCCACGGTAAGGCAGAATTCTGAAAAATAAGTGTGGGGTTAGGAGGAGTGAAGTTATGAGAGGTGATTACTCCCCCATCTGAAAAGGTAAAAGTTAAAAGGGCAGGTAGGTAAGGCTTGTCTCTGGTATGCATGACGTTGGAGTCTGTAGGAAATACTGTTAAGAGTCCTGCTGTAAAAATGATCATTAATAGAACGTAAGAAATTAGGAAACAAAGTGGATAACAAAACATGACTTAGCCTGTGAGTTGTGGCTGTGAGGCCTTGGTAAGGCAGAGATGAGTAGGCAACAGGATGGTTAGATCTAGGGCCTGAGTGATGCAAAACCAGAATGGCAGTCTAGCAACTTTGATTAAAAGGCATTTTAAGATTTAGGACTGGGACCTGCACTAAATAGGCCCTGTTTGTAAATGGTATAGATTGACCTTTAATACCTCCTAGAAGAGGATTTAATATAGTGGCCTGAAAACTCAGGAAGAACTCTGTACGTATGGCCTCTATGTCCACAAATATAGAGAATGTCTTACCTGAGACTTTTAGTGTGACTTGGACTCTGAGACGGACACCCATAAAGGGGGCTGTTGGCCCCGAGCCCCATCAGTCTTCGGCAGCAAGTTTCAGTGATGAATCTGGCAGTACTGGCATTTCCCATGAGGGCTAGAAGTTAGGATGGCTTACCCACTCTCTGGTGGCTAGGACAGTCCAGTAGCCCTGGAGTAAGGTCTCAAAGAATGCCAGGATGGGGCACTCTCTTGCCCAATGTCTTCTGCTGCATGTGAGCGTGGTCCATGGGGGGGGGCAGGCAGCTCCACCTTGTGTAGGTTTACCTGTCTCAGAACTCCAAGTGTCACTGTTATCTCTGTTGTTCAAAACATGAAAAACCATATTAAGATCTCTATAAGGTTTGAAGATCTCTATAAGGTTTTGCCTATTTGTTTGGGACTTGGACTACAGTAGAAGGTATCTGTAGGATTAAGTAAGTATGTAGGAGTCAACAGGGTATTTATAACTTTAGTAATGACTTCTCATAAGGAAGACAAGGTCCAGAGAACTTTAGGAACTGACATGTTATTTATGTCATATACATAAGTATTTCTTTATGGTATTAAGATGTCTAATGCCATCTATTTTTAGAGGATGGCCTGTTTATTAAGTTTTACTCTTTTATTTAGGAGAGAGATCAGCTACGGTGTTATTTAAACATGGTTTTGGCATTCCAGATCAGAGAGCAGGCTTTATCTGGATGGCACACTGCTTTTTCCAGGGTGCCACATGGCAGGCCATACTGAAATTACATACTTGACAAAAAGGCTTTAGTCTGCCCTCCCTCTTTTGGAGTATAATCTCATTTTAATGGAAACATTTTGCAGTAAAGGTTTACCAGTCTTATGAATAAGTCTACCAAAACTGATCTAATACTGTCAAATTTGGAACACATTTACTTTTTTTAAAAACCTGTTATTTGCAGTACTATAAACCAAGACAAATTTACATCCTCTCGAGCTTTTTGTGATTATCGGTGACAACACAGTACAATACAGACAATAAGCCCAACACAGAACACCACTTATGACAATACAGTACAGGCAGTAAGCTTAACATACAACCTTATGGGTGGTTTATAGCAAAAAGGAATTGATCTCTGAGTCGAGCCGCCGAGCTGCTGCCTATCTGTGCCTGTCTTTAAAGTGGTGCATGTGTTTGGCAGAAGCCTGCCTGGGAAATGCGCCTGTCTGGGAGACGCACAGAGGATGGAACTCTGAGGCTGGGCGGGGCGCACCCAGGGTGGGGGCATTTGTCATGGCTGGAACACAAAAAAGGCAGCAGAAACAATCTGAACTTTATATCTGAAAACACGAACAGCATCAGATCAGCAATATGAGTTGTCTGCGGTGCCTGTGTGTGCCGGCAGACAGAGCGCACTTGCAGGGAGCTGTGCCCACGCTTGGGGGCGGGGGCTGAGATCTCTCTGGCACGCAGCCTGAGGTGGAACATGCAGAGTGGGTGGGGTGAGTGTCTGGATGTAGCATGCAGGGGCAGGCTGGAACTGCCCCTGGAAACACACAAGGCGGAGGTGGTGCTGCAGTGGCCAGTAGCCAACCGGCGTGGCCAAACCATCATGTGGAGCTGAAACTGCTTGCGGGACACGCGGACTAGGGCGCAGCATTAAAGCCGAATGCATGTGTGGACCTGGAGTGCGGCATGAGAGCCGCATGAGAGCCACAGCCAAGCAGAGCCAGGGCTGCTATGGGGGACCCGAGCTACTGCTGGACCTCAGCACCAAGAGGGTGGCCAAGATATCGCGTGGAGCTGGGAGGCAGAGTGAGAGCCCAAAGCTGCCCAAAGCCCAAAGCAGCTTAAAACAGTCCTGCGCATATCTCTCAACACTGCCCCTGCTCACCACCCTCCCTGGTGGGGAATGGGCACGGCGAGGGGAGGGGAAGTGGTGAGGAGACAAAGGGACAGGGATGCTGGCAGGAAAGGACACATTCTCAAAACAAAGGCTTAAAGATAGAGTTTTGTAAACTTGTCATCAGTGTGATAAGCTATAAATAGGTATGGTTTTTTGGGGGGGGGCAAGAAGTGGTCCCCAAGATAGAATCTGGTGTGGCGTCTAGCCCATGGAGTTACAGCCAGATGAGGCAACAGACCGTGGTCTGCCAAGTTTAAAGTCATCACCTTGCACTCCAGACCGATCAGTTATTATATGGCTCCAAAATTCCTAATAATTGGCCATCACCAATATTATGAGTGGACTTCATGTGGGTTCAGTAGCAACTCTGCCCGTGAGAGCGTAAAGCTCTGAGGGATGTGAGAGCCTTTCAGTGTGGGTTGGCCCAGGAAAACTCTGCCTTGGGCTATCCGAACCCAAAGGACCTGGGTTCTTTGAGAGTCCTCCAGTATAGACACAGGTTGCCCAGAAAGACCTTGTCTTGGGCTGTCTTAAGGACGTGAGAGTGTCACGGGAACCCACGGAAAAGGGGAGAAAACCCGCCTGGGGCCTGGCCCAGCGGCAATCTCCAGGGGTTGCTCACCTGTGGTAAATTGGGTCAGTGTTGTTTGCGAACCGGCAGTGACAAGGTTACAGCTCCTGAGTGTAGAAGTGAGGAATTAATGCAGGATGCAGTCCAGTCCTGGTCCTGAACTGCAGGGGACTCAAACTGGGAACCAGCCCCAGGAGTCTCTCATCTGCCGTTCCTGGTCAGGGAACCATATGATAGAACTGTGGGGGACCGGCAGCGGCTGAAAAGATAAGTATGAAATATTAATGACCTTTATTTTGAGAATGCGGGGAGAGACACCCCCAAACCCCTGGGGCACGGCATCTCCACTCCAGCGTTGGCGATCTCTCTGTGGAACACATGGAGTGAGGCACATAAGTAGCCTCAGTTTGGGGTGGAACCTAAAGGGGCATTAGGGATGCACAGGTAGCCCATTGGTCTTTGTTTGGCGTCATAGGTAAATTCCTAGGGGTGGGGGAGATAGAAGCTCCTTGGTTCTGCCTCTAAGGCTTTACCTGGCTACAGTGTCGGCCTGGACCAAAACCCTTTCACCAACCACAGTGGCCCCACCATGTAGGGGAGAGTACCTGGCTTCTCTCATAGCACCAGCCCCTCTACTGGTGTCCCCTGTCCCCTCAGTGGTCTGTGAGCACCAGAAGCGTGGGCCCTGGTGTGCAGACTCACCCCTGCGTAGCCAGGCAGCAAAGTGGCTGAGGGAGAGAACAGAGGACTAGTTAAGAATGCTGGTGCCCCAAGCCTGGACAACGGTGAGCACTAGTGCGCTGGTGCCGGAAGTCTGATGGAGCCGGCAGGCTGCTCCTCTGAGGGTACCGGGGTGGCCCCTGGCTGGTCTGAAATGCTCTGAACAATAATGAAAGTATAATGTGAAGCAGGAACTAGGTATTCACAACAGTCACTACGAGAATACTATGTCAGCAACTCACATTTTCAGAGCACTTTGTGTTTTATTTTGGCTTCCTTGTTGAGAACTATTTGTGGCAGGCATGGCTGTTCCCATTTAACCAACAGAAGCACTGGGCTCTGGGGGAAGGGCTGCCAGGTCTGGGCAGCATAGAGGTGCCCCACCTAGGACCTCGACCTTGGCCTGCAGTGACTGAAGATTTCCTTCATCCTGTATTCTGCTTCTTTCACAGCTCAGCCTGGGGTGCTGATTTTTTTTTTTTGAAATGAAGTCTCAATGTGTAGTTCAGGCTGACCTTGAACTTATGGCAATCCTCCTGCCTCAGCATCCCGAGTGCTGGGATTACAGGTGTGAGCTACCATGCCCAGCTTTCTCTCTCTGCTCTTTGCTCCAGCTACCCAACTTTCATTTCTGGATCCCTCCCCCATTCCCAAAGACCTGTACTTCACCCAAGTGTGGGGTGAGAATCACTCTAGGGTTCAGAGTTGGCCTCTCTGAAGTGGGGGCTTCTGGGTAGAGACCCAGGGCATCGGTGGACTTAGCCTGGCAGAGGAAACTGCAGGGGCTATGACCTGGAAAGTCGAGAAACCAGCCTGAGTGGGCAGGGTTGGGGTGAGGCAGGCCCCCCAGGGGCTGCTGTCCATCTGATGGTGCTTCTGGAGCTCACTGAGTCTTGGAGCAGAAGCCGTATAAGGGCTGAAAGCAAATTGCAATTACAGGGCTGGGGTAGCTGGACACGAATGTGGCTGTGTAATACAGCCTGGCCCTGCCACCTTGGCTGCCACAGGCTAGCTCGGCTGCCACAGGCCCACACCGAGGGCCCCGGCTCAGAGAAGCCCACTTTAGATCACATATGAGCAGCTTTCTGGGAAGTGAGGCTGAGGCGCTGAAGAGCAGGGGGCAGAACTGGCTGCTGCAATTGTGTGGGCTGTAGGCAGAGGGCCAAGAGGGACCAGGCCTGCAGGTCACGTGGCTGCCTCACCAGGTGACAGCTCAGTGTCTCCGTGGGTGAGATGGGAATAGATGTCATGGATCTCAGTGAGGAAGAGGAGGCCACACACCTGGTGCCTTAGGCAAAGGGGCTCTACTCTGTCACCTGTCACTTGTTGCTTGAATGAGACTCAGGTTTTCTTGCGGGAGCTTCTGTCCTTGCCACAGATAAACCTGGAAAGCCCAGTGCCAGGGAAAGGGACATGGATGCTCAGGGAGGAGCATCCCCTGGCAGGCACCAGGAGGTGGGTCAGGGCAGGTTTCTGGAGGCAGTGGCAGGTGGCATCCTGCAGGCAGGCATGGCTGGTGGCTCCCAGAACTGAGTCAGTGGGGACCAGTGTGGGCAAAGGACTTGGCTCGTCCTAAGGTCACCTACTTGCTGAATGAAACTGACCTGGGGTGTTCATTCAAAAGTCCTTATACTGCACCATCTGTTGCTTCACACAGATTTGCCCCTCACACTGGGGTCAGAAATGGGACAAGAGCTGAGGAGTGGAGATGGGAGGAGACACAGGGCCCTTTTGTCCCTGGCATCCCCCAAGCATGGGCATCCTGTTCCACCATCACCCTGTGGAGCCTGGCAGGTGGGCCAGAAAGGTGCTGGTCAGAGCCCTGGCCTCCAAATGCCATACCCAGGGATCTGGCCAATGTGGCCCCAGGAAGCCAGGGACCAAATGTCTCTGGCTACCCATGGGCCCCCTGCCTGAACTCCTGGGTGGAGAGGTTGTGTTTTGTAGAGGCGGTGGTGGTGGGAGTAGATAGCTGAGCTGTTCTAGCTTCTCAGACTCTGGGGCTGCATCTCCCTGAAGGGTGGTGGTGCTGCAGATTAGTCCCTACCACCCCACTGCACAAAAGCAGACCAACTAAGGTAGGGTCAGGTCAAGGTACAAGGTCGAGTGTGCCAGCCCTGGTCCCCAAGGAGATTCCTCCCTGGAATCTTCCTCCTCATGCAGAGACGTGGCTTTGCCCAGAGTCCTGCTCCTTAGACAGGCTCAGGGGACAGTGGCCATGTGTCAGGAGTTGCCGTTTGGGGTCTACACTGGCCCTGTGCTCCCACAGTCCCCACGCTGACTCCCCCTTGCATGTCCCTGTGGTGCCTGAGCCCTGCAGCAGCTCCTTTCCAGTGGTGGGGCTCGTTGGGGGACGTGGAAGAGGTGTTGCCAAGTGTTGGGTCATAAGAGCAGTGAGCTGTGAGCAGCTGTCAGGACTGGGGGTGGTAGGCAGAACCCTAGCTGATTGAGATGCGCTTTGGAGGCCACTGTCTGTCCCTGTGGGCCACCTCTCTGCCCCATCTCTGCTCTGAACTGCCTCCCTTTCCTGTCTCCCTTTTAGGCTCCTTGGCCTGTAAAATCCTTCCTGGATCCGAATCTGTAAATGTGCACTCCAAGCCTTTTGTGCTTGGGCCCCAGCTATTTGATCTAATGAACTGATAAAAACAAATACATCAGTCATTTTATGATGGGTTATAATGGGCCTGTCCTCTGGTGACACATTTTTAAAAAAATTTTATTTTGAAAGTGGTAAAATACAACAGAACAAGACAGAATAAAGCCAACTAAGATCGTACAGTGAAATTGGTACAGAACTTTACAGTAGGTTACCGGGATAACAGTAATAGGTATCACAGTATATTTCATTTTCTTTACAATAGTTGTTCTTTCAATCACGTATATCAAAATAAAATGAAATACAGAACATTATAGAACTTATCAGAACAGAATATTGAATAGAGTAGTACCATTAATCAGAATAGAGCAAAACAGTAATAAAAATATTTGCCTTCAAAGAGATGATAGAAGGAAATCCACCTTATTTGCTATGGTCAACCTCCCAGGAGATGCTCAGATTTCTGGTTCCCATTTGCTAATGGGGGGTGGGCAGGAGAATTGGGGTAGGGGAAGTGGGATGTTTGACTCTAGACCATGCGCCAGTAGGTTCACTATTGCTTAGCAGGGAGGCAGGCTGGTTGCTTGGTTTCCCAGCTTTGTAAGTTCCAACATGGTGTAGATCTCAGAAGACACTGGTGGTTCTCCCCCTGGAGGGGCCGTAGTCTGCCACACTGCCGCTTACCAGGGAGGGGAGCTGCTTGCTTGGCTTCCCAGCATCCAAAGTTCCAACATGGCGCAGTTCTGGTGATACATTTGACTTGGATTTTCTGGTTGAATCCCCAGCAACTTCACAGATCCCACTGGACAGAAAACCGAGGCTTAGATCCAACATTGGCCTGGGTGATGGCATTTGGAGGCCAGGGCTCTAACCAGCACCTTCCTGTGGCCCACTGCCAGGCCCCACAGGGTAGAGGCGATCGTCAAAGAAGATGCCCATACTTGGGGGATGCCAGGGACTAAAGGGCCCTGTGTCTCCTCCCCATTTCCACTCCTCTGCTCCATTTCCACCTCGTTAGAAATCCAGGCCTCCCTTGAAGGTCCTCAGATGCACTTGTTTGCCTTCTCCTCCATCCTGTCTCCTCTGAACAAGCAACTTCCTAAGGGCTTTCCAAGTCCACCATTGTGTACTTGCCCCTCCCCATCCCTGCTTTCCCATCCCAGGGCTCACTGGGAAGAAAAGAAATACAGACTAGGAAAAGCAGAAGGTAGGGGCCCCAACTGCCAGGCCAATTGATCCCATGACATAAGTGGAAATGCAGGCCAAAAGAAGTCTCCTCTGGCTTCTCATCATCTCCAATTCAACCTGTGCATGACTAACAGTGTCCTCCAAACCAGGGTCTTCTGGTCCCATTTTACTAGGACACCGCCATCCACGCCTCAAGTGGGGTGATCACAGCTATGGAGTCACCTCAGCTTTCTGCCTCTAACTCATCTCCCAGACAGCTCTAGGTTACCCCTTTCTCTCCATCCCCACTGCCCTGAACTGTGCCCAACCTCTGGAACAGTCTGACCGGATACAAAAGTGTTCAGTGAAAATGTCTTGAATGAATGAACGTGTAGTTCAGGCTCTTGCAGCTGCCTCTAGATTCTGCCCTCCAGCCCAGCCCAGAGTGGCAGGAACATTGCAGTGTAAGCCTGTCCCAAACCCTCAGCACCCGCACCCCCTCTCCATGAGCTCATGTTCTCTTCTGGTTTGCGAGGCCCTGAATAACTTGGCCCTGCTCCACCCCTTACCGCCTCCTCTCCCAGTTCTCACTATATATAGATGTTCCAGCCGTAACACAGTTCTCGTAGGCCGCCAGCTGCACTGGGCTTATTCACACTGTCTAGTTGCACACTGGTCCTTCTGCCCAGAAGGCCTCCCCACACCACTCCATCTGCCTGCTGAACCATCCATGCCTCACCACTCTGGCCAAGAGGTCCAACCTGAGTACCTTGGGTGTCTCCCTATCATAGCACTTAATGGATGTGTCAGGCCTCCTGTTGGACCAGGGTGTCCCTGGCCCCAGGCCTCTTTCTTACTTATCTCTGTGTGCAGCTCCTGGCATAGGCTGGTGGGTGGGAATGACAGAAGTCTCTGGGTGTCAGATGAGTCTGAGACACATGGAAAGCCATGTCTAGGTACATGGGTGTACATCATGTACGTGTACCCTGACCAAAAGAAGTCATTGTGCCATTTGCTGATGCACAACAGATGGCCCTAAAACAGAGTTGCTTAAAACAGCGACAATTTATTTTTTTTTTTCATTCTGGGGGTTGGCTAGGCTCTGCCAGGGAGTCTGGTGCTGTGGTGTGCCGAGGTCACTCACAGGAGGCACTCAGCTGGGAGCACAGTAGGGGCTGGAACGTCTCATTCTTGGGTCTTTCTCTATGTGGCTGGTCATCATTTTGCAGTCCTGCCTCAGTGACATCATAGCTCAGCATCTGGCTTCCTGGAGGAACATGCCAAGAGGGCGGTACACAAGTGCTTCCCAGGTCTTTGATTTTTCTCATTCTAATGTTGCACTGGCCGAAAGGTATGGCTCACTGGGGCCATCAGGGGAACTGTTGGCTGTG